GGGGGGGGGGGGGGGGGGGGGCAGGCATTGGCATGCAGACAGACGAAGGAGAAGCAGGAGTGGTTGTTAGGAGAAGGAGCGTGGCGCGGTGAGCGTGTATGAAGGACGGCCCTTCAGCGTGTGGCAGTGCGAAAGCATGGGCTTGCCCAATTGGTTAGGTGTCGCTGAAGCGCTACAGTACAAGACGAAAACAATAAAAGAAAGAGGGTGGTGGTACTTTTAAGGAACAGGCTATATTCCATCTGTCCGGAAAAACGACGAGTGACGTTGCTAGAGCCTTCGACGACTCACATCAGGAGCTCCGTCTTCGGGTATTCTGTCCGCCGAGTTCTCGAAGTGGCTCGACGACCCTGCCACGGCCGAAAGCAACACGGTACAGCAGTCTGTCCTTCGTTTCATGGATGCACGCATGCCTTCGCCCATGTAACCACTGTCGTGACAACACCGAAACAAATTCACCTCGGCCACGGACTGCCACAGCCAAACCCCTTGCTCCTCCTCCTCCTCCTCCCCCACCACCTCCTCCTCCTCCTGCCCCCCCGTTATTCTCCACTTCTGAATAGATACCTTCACATGCTTCGAACCTACGCCATGCCATCCTCCATGTTAAAGAGACATGACGGTGTAATTACTGTTGTAGCTGTGAAGCCTTCACCTAAACAACAGCGAAAAAAGGGCGAGTCTCTGGGCTTTGAATGCCACAAAGCCATCACATCACATAGTTTTTTAGTTGTCGGGTGTGCCTCGTTCCAGTACACACAACTGTTCCTACTTAATAATTCGTTGGCGAAAAAACACAGCAGTACAGCAGTCACCAGTCACGGAAAAAATGTACAACGCTGTGCTGCCGTGGGCGGGTGACTCTCATTCTGGAACGTTCCACCAAGGAGACCGACCAATTAGGCTAGCCTCTTCAGCGACCGAAAAAAGAACATGAGCGAGAAAAAGCGGGGCGCTAGGAATCACCACGCCATTTGTGCTATTTCGTGCCCACCGTTCTGAACCCTGGCCGCGCAGCTGATGCAGTTCCCCCTCCTGCACTCGTACGACAGGTTCATGCCCGACATCTCCGCCTGCCCGCACGCGCGCGTGGTTGTTGGTCGATACCAAGCTCTTGGAACGTGGAGAGGGTACACAACTACTGTACTGTAGTACTACCGACGAACGACGGGCTTGCTTAATGGAAACGCGCAGGAAGCGGAGGCCAAAAATAAATGCCTCAAGAAAAGGTTCTAACTAGAAGCGGTAGCACCATTTATTGTGGTTGCACTTGCGGTCTTGTGGAAGCAGACAGAAATCTGATGCCCACAGTAGTAGTTTCTCTTGTTGGGTGCTGAAATTCTGATTGGCCGAAATTGCCGGTCACTTACGACGGGATGCTTCCACTCGGGACTCCTTCTTCCCCCGCAAAAATCTACAACTCAGAGGTTTGGGGGGGGCAGAACAAGTCCCGAGTTCAAGAACTCGTCAGCCAGGGTACAGCAGTACCCCGACAAAACCCAAAACAAAAAACAAACCCGTCAAATGACCAGCGCGAGAAAGCACAAGAGGCAGAGATGGCGCCCACTCACCGCCTCCAAAATGCTGTCGCCAGGTTGGACAGTGATCACCCGCCTCTCGCCGTGGAAATCGACCTCGACATCCCTGACAACGTTTCACATGCACGCGCAGAGCAAATTAAAACAGCACTTGGTCCCGCCTTGATCTTGAGGAAGATACTCAAGGCAGACAACATACATCGTACGATGACTGGGGGCCCAATGTTGGAACAACAATTGTTCCTCTCCAGTTAGCTTGTAGTTTGCGGTTTTCATACATGAAAACGGCGTCAGCTCCGGCTGTTGTCCATCGGAAAAAAGATAACATATATCTCACCATGGACGCTCCAGCACAGAGCGAGGAGGCTTCCCTTCGCCACCCTTGCCCTCATCGCCGCACTCCTCTCCCCCGCCCCCTCGATCCGCTGCCGCACCCAACTCCGTGGCGTGCAGGCCCCTCTTTGCTCTCGGCCTTGTCGAGCACGCAGGAGATGTCGTCTGCGCTACAACCGGCGTTGATGTCGCCACAAGACCGCGACCAACAGCGGACGGTCTCCGCTCGTGTGGGCTCGGCAAAGCAGGCACGAACGCGGAGGAGAGGGGGCAGAGGAGGAGGGCAGCCGTGGCAGCGGCGCGGTGCGCGAATGGCGGCATCGTTCGCTGGAAGGACACGCGGACGGTGCGATGAGCCGGAGGGGGAAGAGAGAAGGCAAAAAGGATCAAAGGAAAGATCATGGGGGGGGGAAGACTTGATGATACAGGCTGGATGCGAATAGCATAAAATATGGCTGTGTGTAAGTTGGCTTGACGGACGAAGCCTGTCCAGTCATCATCGCAGCGCGTGCGCGTCGTCGCGAAAGGGAAATTTCCGAGAAACAAATGCGTTTCGCTGCTGCAGGCGAAACCAGACAGACAAGAGCAACATATATTGTATGCATATGAGAGCTTGCGATCGTCATTCGACGACAATACTCGTGTACCGCGGTGAGTGCTGTTGCTGGATCGATGGCTAGAGACTGCTGTGTCGTTGTTGGGTTAACGGGAAAAAAGAAATTTGAATTTTCTCGCCTTGCCGCCACTTAGCTTTCGAGTAGTGACTGCTGAGAGACAAAAGAGCGTGGCCAATACAGGATCCAAAAATCAAACCCGAAAAACGTTTTTTTGACCACATGAGTGCTGTAACAACACAACACAGCGCAGCACGTGCCATCGTCACCAAGTACAGTGCACGTCGACAAGCCATTAGAAGGTCGGCGGCCTGAAGAACGTGCAGGACACGGGATGCACATGAAAGAGAGAGAGAGAGAGAGAGAGAGAGAGAGAGAGAGAGAGAGAGAGAGAGAGAGAGAGAGAGAGAGAGAGAGAGAGAGAGAGAGAGCTTCGTTGGCGTGCTGTGGCCTACCCTACTCGCACCAAGAAATCTGGCGTGTGCCTTTCGAAAAACGGTACTCCCTCCACTATTCGTGTCGTGTGCCTAAGGACAATTATATACAGTACAATTAACACCTCGCACCAGCAGTAGCTCCAAAAGCAGTTGAAAAACAAGTTATATGATTACGGGGGGGCGTATCCCGGATGCATTGACAGCCAACTCCGGGCGTACGGACACAAGGACACACGCGAACGCTGTCGACCACGCCACGTTGTGTTCCTGCAAAACGTGCTGTATGCTGTATGCTGGATTGAGAGGTGGAGGCCAATTACACCGCTTTCGCAAACTTTTCCGAGAGACGTTTTTCCTCACCGTTACCAACCTTGACTTGACTCCGGCAGCTTCTCCGTAAGGTACTGCCAGCACGTGATGCACTTGCACACACAGGAACGCTGTTTTTCTGCCTAGGGGAAGATGGGGGGGGGGGCGACTGGACGCAGGTCGGTGTGCAGGGAAATGAAGAGCCTGGGGGATCCGCAAACGGTAATCGGGGTTGAAGTGGGCAGCTGACAGTCCCGAGATAGCACGATCACAGCGACACCGCACGACAACCCACAGCCCACCCATCTCTTTCTCTCAGCAAGATTTCAGAGCGAGACGAAAGCAACCGTGCTTGTGGTGCCGCGCTCGCTGTCAATGTGTGCTTAAATATATCGACCATTTCTACAGAAGAACAGAGGCGCAGTACCGTAGTAGTACTCGACGCAAGCCGTTGCGCCGCGTTGCATAGGGCACCAGGTGTTGGAGGAGAGCTCGGGGCGACCCAGATGAACACCGCAAAGGCGTAGGTGTTGATGGAAGGGGATCAGGATGACGAGCCTTACCCGCAAGCAGTGGTGCTGTCGCAGACATGCTGGGAGTACAAAACGCTCCTCGATCAAGAATCGGCACCGCAGCAGAGGAGGCAGCCGCAGCACGGCAAGAGAAAGGAGGCCCGAAAGTCGATAGAACTAGGAACACCCGCCGAACGACGATGGGCGAAGAAGGCCAAGACAAGCGCGTCATCTGGTGTGAGAGAGCCGCGATGTGCTGGAACGGCACCCCTCGCGACCCTTCGTCGGGCGGGCAAGGGTGAGAGCAGCAAGGACGTTGGGTCCTGGGACGTATTCGTGCTTGTGCTGCAGGCTAGCGGCCTTCAGCAGGTCACCTCCAAGAGAGGTTCCGAGGTTGATTTCGGCACGCTGCTCGTCGCAGACCAAAGCCTCTCTTTTTTCCGGTTGACGCTGTGGGGGAGAACGGCTAGGGCAGGCGGGAGGCTGGTCCGGGCAGGAGATCTCGTCCGTTTCAACGGGTGAGTGGGCACAGCGGGTGGAAGCTTAAGCTTCGCTACACTCCGCACGATAATGTTTGTTGTTTCGGGTGTCGGGCAACGTTTGCCCTGCTAATGACCTAGATGAGCTGGCCTGCTGCCGTAGCATTACAGACAAGGGAACTCACAGGCAGCACGGCAATGGCTAGCGCAAGAGCGCACGGTGAGTATTGCGGCCTAACACCCTATCGTACGTGTGGTGAGATTGGGCAGAGCGGGACGCGTCCGACAACTGCTGTAGCAGATGTCGCTCGTAGATACTTGCCTCTTTTTAACTAGCTCAAACTTGCTTTGATCAGTATTGCACGCTTTATGGCCCCTGGAATGGGCGAGAAGCTCTGACTGCGGCGCCGGTCCATGTTCATCGTTTTTCTCATGCAACCGTCCAAGAACAGCTGGTTCTTCTGTGCGGACCCTGAACTCGATTTTCAAGTCCTTTCATTTTGTCGGCGAAGTGCCTCTTCAACGAACAGGTTTTCATAAATGAGTGCAAGGCGTCTTTTTCCCTCTGTGGCAACCGTACTAGAGTGGTTCTTGGATTTGGCAGGAGGGGCAAGCGTTACACCTGCTGTAGTGGCCAGAGACACTTCGGGCAGGCCAGCCCTCAACATAGTCAACGTCGGCACTGGTATGCATACGTTACAGCATTCGCCTTTACACGCTACACATCTCCTTGTTCTGCGCGTGCGTGGTCGAAAATCATATCCCCTCCCCCCACCGTGTCCCCTTCTCCTCCTTGCGCATGTGGTAGGGTCGGCGTGAGCTCGTTTCGAGGCACCGTCCAGGCGTGCTCCACCCGAAGCACCAGCTTCCGAGTCGTTTGGCGAGGCGACGCCTTCACCACCCCGCAAGAAGCCCCGAGCACCACCATGCTGCCCCAGGGGCGGCCGCCCCCCGCCAGCGAGCGCTCCGCGCTCTCACAAGGCGGCGACCTCTCCGTGTCGCGAGAAGCGGCCTGCGCCCTGGCCGCCTGGGCGAAGACCGAGTTCCCTTCCGTCACGTCACCCGAGCCCCCCCGTGGCGGCGGCGGCAGCGGCGGCGGCGGCGGCGGCGGGCAAGACCTGTGGAACCGACACGCCACCGCCGCCGGGGTTCTGCCGTCGGTGGAGGAGGCGGAAGGTGCAGGTGCCGATGCTGGCGCTGGTGCTGGTGCTGGCGATGCTGCTTTTCGGCCCGGGTCGCTGGGCGCCGTGAGGAACGGGGTGGAGACCACCGTGCGAGCTTGCGTGGTTGAGGTTTCCGAGGTGGAGCGGCTGTGGATATGGAAGTACGCGGGAGGTGAGACAGAGATACAGATAGGATGTTCGCAGCAGCCTGCTGCTGTTGCTGTTGCTGTTGCTGCTGCTGCTGTTGCTGCTGCTGCTGCCGTGAGGGTTGGTATTGTGTCAGAAGATGTGGCGTTGTTGTGCTGCAGCTATGAAAGTGCCGGGTGCCAAGTGGGTCGTCGTCCTCCCCTCTTGTGCTCCATTTGCTAGGAGAAGGCGGGGGGGGTTGAAGCCGGGCAGCTGTTGGAGGTAGTGAGCCGTTCCGTGCCATGACTTTCGCTGTCAAGAGGAACGCGTGTTAAGGACAACCAGCAGTAGTACTTATGACTATTATGCGAAGTTTGGGTGACGTTGTCGCGAGATGTTCTTCCTCTCTGTGCTGGCTCTATCTTCGAGGCAATGCAAACTCAAAAAAACGACACCTATCATTCGTTTTTTAGGGTTCGTTTTTAGGGTTACAGTGTCCTCCCAAGCTTGCCCTAATCGCCTCGATGAAAAAACACGAGCCGAACCATGTATGCGTTTTTTTACGTGACGGAAAGGAAAACGTAGGAAAGACCTCGTCTCGAGAGCTACCGCGCTGCTCACCGACGGCCGGCACGAGATGACGCTGCAGCTCTGGGGCGACATGGCCTCCGACGAAACCATCGACAGCTTGAGGGGAAGAGTCATCACCGCCGGCAAGAACGGCGTCTCGGCTCGAGACGGGGCGATGGAACGACCCGCGGTTTTCGAGTTCACCCGCCTGCAGCCGTCGTTCAGCTTCTCGTGCGAGGCTCTGGTCCTCAACGGTAAGAGCGGCACCGCGACACACATGGACCGCGGTTCGGCGGAAGCGGTTTCCGTGTCAACAGCAGTGCTGGCCTCTGCTGCTGCTGCTGCTGCTGCCGGCGAGGGAGACGAGAGAGCTTCGGTGTCGCTTGCCAAGGCGAAGAGCTCGTGCGCGGGAGCCCCGTCATTCCTCGCCCAAGGGGCCGGGGCACCGGCATCCGCTCGGAGGTTCGAGTCCGTCGCCGCGCTAATGAGCGCCGACGGCTTTTCCGGGGCGGGGTACCTCGCCAACGTCGTCATCCGGAAAGTTTGCGCCCCGTGGCTGTCGGCTGCGGGGCCCCCCGGTGAGCACGGCCGCACCGCGAGTCTACCGTCTCTCGGTAGTGTTGCCCCGCCTGTGGTTATTTACTTCGGCGACCCTGATGAACCGGTCCCAGCGGCGGCGGCTGGCGATGCTCGATCGGCGGGAGTTGAGGCCGTCCTGGGAGTGACGGCGGACGGCGGGGCTTTGCACGAGCTGTTGGGCGGCGTTCCCCTCGACCTCCTCGCTGTCGGAAGCGGAAGCAGTAGCCGTGGGGGGATGGCTGGCGACGTCGGTAGGAGAGTGGTGCAGTGTCTGCTCGATGGGTTGGAGGTCGGGGGTCGCCGAGGGGAGCGTGTAGACGTAGCACTGGCTTGCTCGGCGTCTGCAGACGAAAACGGCAGGCTCATTCCCGGGGGGAGCTCGTACCGCCTCATAAGCCTCCTCCCTAGATACGAGTCGGTCCCGGGGCCTGATTCTTGAGAATCGGGGCGGGGAATGGCGGGGGCCCGGGCGTGTATGTATATCATGGTAGTCTACGTGGCGTGGCACGCTGTCGGTGCTACCAAAGCCGGGACACATCTTGGTGTCCAGAGAGATGTATGTTATGTAGCGCGTTTGAGCTACAAGTATCACGCGCTTTTAAGAGTTGGTGTCGGCGACGCCGTGAAGGTAAAGATAACGGTGTGATATCTTCGGTGTTGATCATTACTGCTCGCCGAGCGCGGAAGGTCGTAAGTAAGGCGTGCTACGGTGTGGCGTGCTGGGTCGATTCCATGTTGCCTTTTTTTACCCCAAGCTTCGAGTTTCTGTGTCCTCCATCTATTTAACGATCGCTTCTGAACTTGAATTCTGTCCACCTGCCCTACGCGCCGGATTCCTCTCGCCCAGAGACCAATATTTCGTCAAATGTTCAACACTTGCGCCCAGCTGAAAAGCACAACACTTCCGATTTAGACATGACTTTTGGTAAGCGTACACTCTGACTTGTTGCAAGAGGTTTTCAGCTTGTTATCCGCTCGTCTTTCGTGTTTCCGCTTAGAACGGCGGAATCGCACACGAGCAATACGAATGCCAGAAGGTAGTGAGCAGAGATCGGAACGGTTTTGAGGGTGTGCAGACAAAATACAAGAACAACAAGAACAACAGTTCAGAATCGGCCTCAGTTTTCTGTTTACCCTATTTTTCTACCACACACCGTTGATCGACGCGACCCCCGTTGCCTGTTTGTTGTTGTCCGAGCGCGGCAGCATCGGGCCTTTTCTGGTGTGCTTGCCAAAAAAACAAAACGGCTGCTGCTCGGCACGTATCACAGCTCAGCGGGCGATGGTTGTTTCGCTGTCACTAAAAACCAACGGCGGATGGATTATTGAGTGTGATCGGGAGCATCGGCTGTATCGTATGCATATGCACGTGTCTCCTTCCGTCCCAACTGTGGCATCTGCCCTAGTCCATCGCCCAACGACTCACGGTGAAAGTTGGTTGCTTTTCCTACCATCACGCTGCCCGAACCAGAGAAATCCCCACGTTGTAGCAAGATGGATGCGCTCCCGCGCGCGAACCTTAGCAGCAATACTTATACTTGCATTTGCATTACATCAAAACCTGATCTTGCATACGACGTGCGTGTGTGCACGTCTTTCATTACATTGACAGACATTGACATGGACAGATACAGACGCAAGAGAGCCAGCCCCCCGAACAACTACGACAGCGCATGCATAGATCGTACTACGTCTGGCCGAGCACGAAACACATGTTTCCAGCACACGATTTAAAAAACACCAAGTACAAAACGCGACGCTTGCACCCCACGCACTACACGGTTTGAAACCTCCAATCCGCGCGGCGTGTATCGAATGCCCCTACATGTTCACCCGGGAACACTCCAACAGGCCTTGCGCGACAGAGACTTGTGTAAATGCCCTTCCCACCTACCTTGTACCTCGACCTGAAAAATGTGCTGGAATGCATCTACGTACGACGACCTACCGACGGAACATGTATCCCAAAGGCTTGAGGAAGCGAAGGCGGCGGTGACTGGCGTGGTGCTCGCGCCCACCCCCGGGAGTCCACGGCCTCGTCACCCTTCGCATTCCACAAGCCTTGAAAGCGAAAAAGATAGTACACCATGTCGCCATGTCAGCCTCGCGAACCTTGTTCTCTACGTCATGCTCAAGGCGAGCGCCCGCCTCATCAGACCTTATCAATGAAGCACCCAACACCTGGCCTCTTTTACGGCCCCAAACGACGTATGATATATGCAGGCAGCGCCAATCTGCACTGACCTGATCCCCCTCCCACACGCACCCCCGCTCCCCAAAAGCACATGTTACGGCATAAGGCGGGATTTCAGCGATATCATACCCCGCTGTACGTGTTCTCTTGGTTTTCTCTTTTCTATTTATCGTCATGAACTAAATGCAATCCCCTATCGCCCCGCGTGGCAATGCTTTGCACATGTAAGGCAAAACGTCACTTCCACCAACTAAATACTTATACCACGAAAAAATTACGTGTACCCACCAAACACAACAACCTCCTCTACTGCTTCCGCTTCTGCGGGAGAGACAACGCGACCAGCGAACGATCTCTGACTCTCTTTCCGAACGACCCCGCATCACGCTACGGGAACACAAGATGTTAACCTGCGAATCAACAAATATACAACTGGTACACTCCACCGTGGAGCCGGCTGCTCCCACCGCCCGACGACTAGCTAGAGCCATGCCTGTTGCCGGATGCGAACGATCAAGTCGACGAGAGTGGGCACCGCGTGACGCGTCCGCATGCGCGCGCACCTCGATGTCGCCACTCGGCAAAAAAACAAAATCCATCCAACTACAGTATCACCAAACAAAAAGTCAACGCACTCGCGTAACGCGCGTGCCAAAATCCAAAGAGACACCATCCCGCTCCCGTCCCACCAGGCCGTGCCCTGTTCACGGCTGGAGACCACTGCTGTCCGTCCCAACCGACAACACTCCTTCCCTTGCTCTTGTGTGCCATGGCACTGAGTATCGTTTTGGCACCCCCCGAACACTCCTGACGCTCGTTCACCACCCGCAAACTTTCCGAATCAACCCTGCCAGGCTGACTCGCCGAACAAAACAAAACAAAAAACCCTCGGTAAAAATATTCCTCTTTTTTACCATTCCGTGTCTACAGCCGGCGACGACCCCCCCGCGTCGGAGAACGCCACGCTCGCTTTCCGCTTCCCGCCGGCGGCATTGCTTGGGCTTGGACCCACGCTCGCGGTTGCATCGCTCGCGTTGCTGCTGCCATGCCCCGCGGCGGCGGCGGCCGTGTTGTTGTTGCTGTTCGTGTTCGATGGGAGCCCAGGAAGCGTGTGGGGCGGCACCCATTGGCTCTCCGCCGCCGCCGGCAAGGCATCCCCCCCCCCCCCATCTCCGGATTCCGCGGGGCCTCTTGTACCCCCCCCCACGCCGCTAGGTGGCGCGCCCTCTGCGCCGCCGGCGGGACCAGGGGCGGCCGGTGGCGGGGCCGGCGTTGTGGCGGTCTGTGCTGGTGCCTGCGCCGGTGCAGACGTCACTGACTGGGGAGGAACAGGAGGGGCGCTCGTGGCACGCTCCTGCCCCGTGCTGGGATTGGGATTGGAGCTAGCCACACCCCTCCCGCCGTCCCCGCTGGCCCCCCATGCGTTGGCCGCCTCTACGTTTAGGGTCCCTTCCCGGTGCAGATCCCGAAGGACCCCCGCCGCCACGGGAGGGACTCCCACGGACCCCGCGCGGAGGGCCTCGCCCTCCGCGTGGCCGGCAGCCGCGTGCGAACGGGCTGTCTCGGGGTTTACGGGCGGGCTGGCGTTGGTGCTGTTAGCGTCGGCAGTGCTGTTAGCGTCGGCAGTGTTGTTGGCGGCGGCGTTGTTGGCGGCGGTGTTGTTGGCGGCGGTGGTGGCGGCGGCGGCGGCGGTGGTGGTGGTGGTAGTGGGGGTGGGGGTAGCTGTGGAATGCAGAGTGTTTTGGTTGGTGGTAGTGGTGGCGCTGACGCTGTTGCTGTTGTTGGTGGTGCTGGTGCTGGTGCTGGTGCTGCTGACGCTGTTGCTGTTGATGCTACCGCTGTTCACCCCGATCGCTGCAACTGCTCTGTGGGCCACAAAGTCGTCGTAGACTAGGCGCAAGGAAGAACCCAGCGGCATTGGGACGAGCCCCAAGTGGCTCAGGGCAGCCGCGGCTTCTTCCAGCAGTGCCTGTGATTCGTTTTTCCCCTGGAGCGTCTCCCAGCAACGCAGCGACCACCGGAATTTGAGCATCTGCCAACAGAGAGTGGGCGAGCGATGTCCCGTCGTCAGGGGGTGACTATTGTAGTGGGAGATAGGCCAGAACCAGAAATGTGACACATGAGTAAGGTATGGCCATTCTTATTCTTTCTAGGGTGTTATCATGATACATCGTCAGGAGGTGATGAGCGGCAGATAGACCCAAAATAGAATTTGTGTCATGAGGTATGACAATTTCTTATACAGCAGCAGCAAGTCTTCTCGAGCATATTCCCACCGGTACAGCGTGACGTTCCTTCACGATACGGTACGGTACGGCACGGCACGGCACACACACCGGTTATCCGCCACGGCATGTACCATACGCAGCCAGGTCAGCATCACAGCGGTAGAAACAAAAAAGGTACACCTCTCGCCACCAAGTTCGACCAGGCCTGCTTGCCGCTTGTCTCACATCTGCCGGCATGATCTCCGCCAAGAAGTCGAGGTATCCCGGGACTTGCCGCATCTCCACGAGCACCGAGTCCCCCGCGCCCGGCAACGGCTGCGCGCGAAGCTCCCACAGCATCTGGCAGAACAGGTTTGATGTTGCACCGGGCAAAGCACGAACGGCAGAGTTGAGAAACTCGGCATCGAGATTGTGGGGCGTGAAAAAAAAGACGGTTTACGTCGACGCGCTATGTATCGTGTTGCCGAGGTATAAAAAAAGGTGACGTGCGCGACAGAGCCGGCCTCGGGAGTTCGAGGTTGGCAATCCGGTGTCGCAACGAGAAAAAGAAAGCGCCACAAAAAAAAAGACGAAAACAGCAACAAAAAAGAAAGCCACACAACAAGCGAGCGTTGCTGTCGGCGAAAATCTACACGGAAAAGCACCCGCTCGACAAGTCGAGCCGGGGATGCTGCGGCCACGCAGCAAGAACCGACCAGAGCCGAGACACAAGACACAGACACACCTTAACCGGGACACTCCGAGGACGCTTGGGGTCCATCATGCCCAGGAAGAACGGGGGCAGCGTGACCCCCCACCCTGGCTGAAGCACAAGCACGGGCGGCGAATCGATCCTCACCGCCGCACCACCTGGCGCCGCGGCTGGCGCAACGCCCGCCGGCATCGCCGCGGGCGCAGCCGCGGGGGGGGGGG